TAATTTAAGTAGAATAAAAATTACTTTACAAAATTCGGGGCAAATTTGCCCCGAATTTACATACGGATTAAGGGATAATAAATTACGTATTGGCATATGATTAATTATCATAAAAAATATATGTCGGAGTATTTATAATTTAAAATTTGGGGTTATACTTAATTTAGGGTGTGAACAGAATCCGCCGCGATGTTAAGTGAATCGCAACATAGTGCCGGGATTCTCTTTTTTTTTTTTTCTGTAAAAGGCTGCTGCCAAAACAAGAATTAGTAAATTGATATTCTGTAATTAGATGTTAATATATATTAAGGTAGCTGTTATCATACTACAATTTTTCACCATACAGTATTAACCCTACAAAAAAAAATTAAAAATTATATTCAGATTTTGCTCAGATTATTATCTTAAAAATGAGTATTTTTCATAATAAGGACCTATATAAAACCTTTTAAATTCCTGAATATTTCTAAATTTCCGATTTTCTGGTTAGCTAAATAGTTTTTTAATAGAACAGTTAAATCCTGCTTACGTGTATAATATAATTCAAATCAAAAACATTAATTTTAGATTTCTAGATGGTTACTTTTTAAATATACAGTCAGACATCTCTATCTATAAGTGCACACCTTTTTCTAAATGCACGCTCAAGTGCTAGTTCAAAATATACTTGACCTCCATAAATGCACTTTTTCTCTATATGCACGTTATTAAAGTGTGGTCCCAAGTAGAGTTGCTGGTGAAACCAATTCATTTCACCAGAAAACTGGTGCACCAACGGTGCACCATCGGTGCACCGTTGAAGATTAGTTTCACCTAACTCTAGTTTTACCATCAGTGCACCAGTTTCATCAGCTTTACCTGGTGCACCATTGAAGATTAGTTTCACCTGCAACTCAGGGAGGTCTGACCGTATATCAAATAAGGAATATGTTACGACTCAAATAAATATTCTGTAGATAAATTTAGTCGATTTATACAGGCTTTTATTTATACTTAGTACGTACGTACGTACGTCTGTACTTACAAGATGAACCCATCTGAAGACGAAATTAAAAAAAGCCTTAATGAAGAACATATTGAATTTTACGAATATTCTTGCTTCAAAGATGTTAAGCTAATCGGAGAAGGAGGATATGGAAAAGTGTACAGTGCCATTCTCAAAAGTAACGAAATTACAGTCGCAATAAAATCATTTAAAAATAATGTAGCCATTAAAGAAGTTGTTAAAGAGGTAATCTGCTTATTTATTATTAATTGTTACAGCAGATAACCAACTACAAAGTTATTTATTTCTATAAAATACAATCTGCGTAGCTTAAATTACATAGTAGAGTAGATATGCATTCTAATATCATACGTTTACATGGTGCTACTAAAAATGAAGGTAAGCCAATTTCTAAATTATCGAATTTTTTTTATTTGTAAAAAACTTTGATAACTTAAAACCCATTAAATGAAATATATATATGATATTATTAAATGTGTAATAGATAAAACAAATCCGAACTCTATACATTACATGCTTGTTCTTGAATATGCAGATAGCGGAACTTTAAGATTGTATCTACAAAATAATTTTGAACATCTTTCTTGGAATGATAAGATCAATTTTGCATTGCAAATTGTCAGCGCAGTTAAAAGTTTGCATGCTGAAGATATAATACATCGTGATTTGGTAAATTTCAAAAACAATACTTGTGATTTTTACTATTTTTATTAAATTTAAATATTTATTATTTTTAATAGCATTCAAACAATATACTAGTTCATCAAAAGTGCATTAAGCTTACAGACTTTGGAATTTCAAAGAGATTAGATGAAGCAACAACATCAAGTCGAAAATTCGCTGGGATTATTGCGTATATGGATCCACGGAGTTTTGGAAGGCCAAGAAATGAAAATAGAGTATTTAAATTTGATAAAAAATCCGATGTATATAGCGTTGGTGTTCTTATGTGGGAAATATCTAGTGGTTATCCACCCTTTAAAGATGATATTGAACAACATCAGCTTGCATCATTAATTCTAGATATTAAAGACGGTGTTCGAGAAAGTCCTATCGAAGGAACACCATCTGCATATGTCAAGATTTATACAGGTATTAAGTTACTTATTATCTTATTTTATCATGAAAAAAAAAAAATTCGAGAGTAATTTTTAATTAATAAATAGATTGTTGGCAATATGATCCTGATATTCGTCCAGATATTCAGCAAGTTTTTTTAAATCTAAGAGGTTTAAGTATCAATGATGAACAAGCCATAAGTAGAAGTGCGCATGATATTAATCATGTATCAGCTCAAATAGTTAATCAAAATAGTTTAAGTATGTTCATTTCTGATTCAACACAGGCAATTTTAATGCGAAGTACTCCTTCAACATCATTAGCCTATGATAAAACGGATGAATATGAGAGAAGACTTGCAGATTTAAATAAGTCATTAGAAATCGAACCAAATAATGCATGGGCATTAAGCAAACGTGGAGAAACTTATCGCATGTTGGGGAGATATGAAGAATCACTTGCAGATTTAAATAAATCTTTAGAAATTGATCCAAATGATATATTTTCATTAAGTAATCGCGGAATAACTTATCGCATGATGAGGAGGTATGAAGAATCACTTGCAGATTTCAATAAATCATTAGAAATTGATCCAAATAATGCATTTGCATTGGGTATCCGTGGAACTGTTTATTACGACATAAGCAGATATGAGGAATCACTTGTAGATTTTAATAAAGCATTAGAGATTGATCCAAATAATGCCAGCACATTAAGTATTCGCGGCTTTACTTATCGAATGATGAATAGATATGAAGAATCACTTGCAGATTTAAATAAATCATTAGAAATTGATCCAAATGATATATTTTCATTAAACTATCGTGGTTCAACATATCATATGTTAAGTAAACATAAAGAATCGCTTATAGATTTAAATAAATCATTAAAATTTTTTCAAAACGAGGCACATGCATCAAAAAATAACGGAAAAACTTATGATATTATTCATAAATATGAGGGTTTACTTGTAGATTTAAATAAATTATTAGAAATTGAACCAAATGATGCATTTGCATTAAAAAGCCGTGGTACAATTCACTGCATTATGGGTAGATACGAAGAATCACTTGCAGATTTAAGTAAGTTACTAGAAATTGAACCAAATAATGCTTTTGCATTAAGAAGCCGTGGAGAAACCTATCTCAAGATGAACAGATATAAAGAAGCGCTTGCAGATTTAAATAAATCATTAGAAATTGAGCCCAATAATGTAATTGTATTAATCAATCGTGGAGAAACTTATCGCATGATGAATAGGTATGAAGAATCACTTGCAGATTTTAATAAAGCATTAGAGATTGAACCAAATAATGCCAGCACATTAGAATTTCGTAAAAAAATCAAATTTTTTATGGCTAAAAAATTTTAGGATTTAAGATTTTAATTACTGTAATGAATCATTTGAAAATTTATTAGTAGGCCATTTAGGTGTGAAATTCTAAAAAGGTGAACTAACTTTATGTATATTGTACGTAATAAAAAAATCTTTAAGATACGTAATTATTGCATGTACTGTTAGTGTTGGAACGGGCCATGCATGGCCCGCGGGTTACCCGGGTCGGCCGTGCTGATCACGAGTCAGGCCGGGCCGGAGACATTTGATTGGCTAGCACTAGATAGTAGAAAGTTTTTGATAGTCATTGTGGGTATTTTTGTATTGTAATTTTTTTTTAATTTTTACCTGGGCTTATACCTGCTGCATAAACCCAAACTATTGTAGTTTTGATTTGCTTGTGTTCAAATCCCAAACTCTGGCTATACTAATATTTCAGAAACTTTTTTTGGTCTTTGACAACATTTATAAAAATGTTATATATGATCCAATTCTTTCCTATATAAATGCCAAACATCAAGAATCCTTCCTCAAAATTAAAAGCATATCTCCACTAGACCAAATATTTCAAACACAAATATCATCTATTACAATTCTCCCACTTGCCTATATGGATGATACAGTGTGGCTTTGTAAAAGCAAAGACTCACTACAAGATCTGCTTGATGATGTATTAAAACTTTACAAAATTAATAATATTCAAGTTAACCCAACTAAATTAGACCTACTTTACATCAAACTCAAAACAAATTCCTGAACATCTAATAATAATTCAGCACTCAACCAACAGACTACTACAAACTTTGTTTTATTTGATAACACAACTATTACATCAAGAAAACTATAAGATATTTGGGTATATTTTATAATGGAACAGGGTCCAATAAACTTACTATTGAAAAAATATTTAGCAAGATAAAAAATTTTATTAAACTTATTTAATATAAAAATTACTTCCTATACAACTCTCTTGTCTATTTAATACAATCCTCTCTCCATCTTTAGAATATTTACTACAAATTATTTCACTCACCCAACAACAAACCAAAAAACTCTCAAACATGCTTACCAAATAATTTAAAAAATTACTTAGACTATCAATTAACACTAATGATGATACACTTACCAACTCACTATCTCTTAATCTTCCTATACTTGATAAACTTCTTCTATATACAAGTAGTAGTATAATTAAAAAATCAATTAATTCAGCATCTCTTCTGAAAAAATCTTTGAATTAAGAATTAAAGAATGGCTTTACTATACTTGGAGCCATTTAATAACATATGATAGTCTACATTTTCATTAGAAAAAACTATTTAAATTTATATATATCTCAACTATACTATTTTCTTAAAAATAATATTAATATTAATAATCTTGAAATTAATAATAACATCCAACTTATTTCACAATACAAACTTAACTATATACATAACTTTTGTTTATCAGAAATTCAAAAAACTTCAAGTTTTAAAAGCTTCAAAAATAATCAAATTCTATTTCTTGAACAACTTTTAATAGCTAGCAACCAATATTTACTTCCTTGGAATAATATATATCTTCGAACTAACAAAACCTCCCAAGGATCTATACCATCTTGGTACAAAACACTCTATTCAACTATTAACAACAAAACAATTTTAGAACAGTAGCTACAAACCCAAATTGCTACAATTAATTACTTTTACAATACACTTAACCTACCTGCAAATCCCAATATACTATTCTAGAAAAACAATTAGTCATTAATATCTTCACAAACTGAAATTACAATTGAAAAAATAATTACTCAATCTAATAATCAATTTTACTTACAAGAATACAATCTATACACAGATATCCCAGGCATTCTAATACTTACTTCTACCTCTACTATTTATACAGTATCATTTAATCAAAATTATTAACTTTACTTTCAAAAGTCTTCACTACCAAAATATTTATCAATTATCTTTCAATATTACAAAAATCCAAGCATTATTGGAAATTTTCTTATCACTTCAAATTTCACTACTACTTTAACACTCTATTCAAATTAACAATCCTAATATATCACTTATAGAAAATACAATTCTAACCCTATTATACCAAACCAAACTTATAAACTTACAAAATCTTTTCCTACAAATAACCTACATTTTTACTCAAATGCTTCAATACAAAATACCAGATCACCAAATATTCAGGCAGGAATTAGCTGGTTTCTAGAAAACAATATAAAATTAATTTCTACTCTGCATCAGCAAATAGACAAAATACCAATCATTTAGAAACTAAACTAATTATTTATCTACTTCTAATACTTCCAAGTAATATACATTTTTATATCCATATAAATAATACTACAGCAATAAACAACCTTCAAAATCTTCCAACTGACTAACCAATTCAAATTAAACAAGAAAATTGAGATCTTCTTTATATTATCAATAATCTTCTTAAAATTAAAAATATTATATACACTATACACAAAACAGAATCCCACTCAAAAAAACCAAACTCTCC